AGGCCTACTCTGGGGCGGTAAATCGCATTAAATCGCAGGTTAAAATGGTCAAATTTATCTTAAATCGCCTAAAATCGCTTTAAATCGCCTAAAATCGCTTAAAATCATGGGCGTACTGGGTGGGGGTGGGGGACGGGGCGACCCCCCCCCCAGTTTCTGGCTGGGCGGTCGCCCCCTCGCTTTGTTGGGCAAACAAAGCCAGCCGGGCAATATTCGCTTCACAGTCGGGCAATATTGGTTTATTATAGAAATAAATGGGATAAATTCTGTCAATTTTGTGGGAAATTCTGTCAATTATGTGGGAAATATGCTATCTAATAGGATTTTTTTGTAATCACTTCTCCCCCCCCCCCAATCACTTCTTTCCAACCCCCTAATATTTTCCTTCCCGTACTCCCATGCTTAAAATCGCATTAACTCGGCAACACGCATTCTGTTTGATACATTCAGTCAATAATGTACTCAAGTTTATCAATTGCTGCTATTTTGCTGGCAAATCATGTATAATCCAGGTGTTTTGCAATCAAAAGTAATGCAACATGGATAAATCAAATAAGTGGATTAGGCTGACAATATTTAGTCACTCAATAGGCTCCAGTCGTTAATAAAAACAGAGCCTTTTTCTGCTTTATGCAGACTTTACAATAATTAGGCAATTCTGGGATATGAAAGACCCATAGATTCCATTACACTACCAGCAACAAAATTGAGTTACTGGTTAATTTCATTATTGGTGTAAAATGTGGAGGCTGGGTTACAATTTATATGGACTATGGTGGCTGGGCTACAAATTAATCTATAATATACATGGCTTCTCAAAGCCTAATTGCTGTTAGAACAACAGTAGGAGACTATGATAATGAGAGTCAATGAGTACGAGTATAGAATAAGGTCATCCTGCAATTTGTTGTATACAATGGTTGTACTTCGACATGTGCATGGTTATACTCTAGCTCCTAGTTATAATTATATTGGCTATATCATACGAAAAACATACGTGGGGTTTAATATGAGCGAGATTTGCAAGTTTTGCAACTCTCATCTATTAAATTTTCCAGATCTGTATAGAAAATAAACAGTAAAACAATGACTACATCGTACATACCATACAGTCTTTGTTATTGCTTGTTTGCAGAACACTTGACAAATTATCAGGTAAAAGACTTAAAACTACGATGTAGTGCGCGGTGTGCCATTTGTTTAATATCATTTTGTTTAGTATTTTTTTAAAATAATTTAGAATTCCGACCATTTATATGCGATGTACTTCATGTAAATTAAACTTTACGGCATTACGCCGACAGTTTCCGAATGCGTGACAATACTGTTTCAAACTGTTTCTGGATATAGATATCAAACATAATTTTATAAAACATGTTTGTTGAAACAGTTTAAATAAAATGCAAGCTAAATAAAGAAGTGTTGACAAGATACAAAACAAGACAATTTCACTTACAAGGGTGACAAGGTAATTTATAGGAATATAGCTTATTGTAACTGTATAAATTTATTGTGCGTTTCTACTCTCTGTGGGCTGTGGTTCTTTTGGAAATCAAATATCTATTATATTTTGCAATTAATAATATTAAAGTTTAGCCTAAGACATGTGTAGTTTAGTTATAGGTTGGTATTTTGCAATTATGTACCGTACATGCCCCTTAAGTAGAGTATATTTATTAACTGTTTACAATATTTGTGGTATATATTAAAATGTAGCCATGAATGCTGAATGCATGACCACATGACCCCACGAGATGAACTCCAATGGCTTCTAAATAAGACAATGGATGAACAGTTCTCGAATATTGAGCTTTTATATATGATTCGGGTTAAATACAATAATTATTAACCTAGCTTTATATAAAATGTACATACATGTTCTAATAATTGTATTTTGCTTCATACATGAAATGCATATGTGTGTGAAAACATTACATTATTCAGCTCACTCCCATTTGGGGCTTTTCAGTCACCGCTTACATCAAGTATTAGGGTTACTTATGTTAGTCTAGACTATTTATCTTTATAACAATGAGAATATGATCTCACTTTTCTAACTGTGTTTATTCTAACCAACCCTGCCATATTTTGCCTTGTGGGAGGAAACCGGAGCAAAATATAAAATTTAATTACCTTGAAAACACAGGTCTAAATTGCAATCCCTAAAATTTAGAATTTTCTCTTAAATCGCCTTAAAATCGCACTAAATCGCACTAAATCGCAGTGCTTGAAAGTCCCAGTTTTTCCTTAAATCGCCTAAAATCGCCCAAAATCGCATTATATCGCAGCGATTTAAGGCGATTTACCGCCCCAGAGTAGGCCTAAGGTTTTTACGAGTTGGAAGTGAGTTATTAATGTAACGAATAGTGAAGTTATAGATGTTCTTTGGGAGGTTTGATTGGGATTTAGACCATATACCGTTTAATTTCGACAGTGAAAACTTAATGACATTTGAGAAGAAGGAGCCTTGCAAAATCAGATGATTCTGCAGTTTGTCTTCTTGTCCGGAGGTAAAAGTTTTAAGGACTTCTTTTGTCGAGGTGTAGACGTCGTACTGAATGTTTTTGCTTTCAGATGTTGTTTTCCAGAGGTCTTTTATGGAATGATTTGGAGAGGTCTTTAAGGCGTTACGAGCAACTGTTTGGCACTGAACAAACTTAATTGACGGCGGGTAGATATTTAGACCAAACTTGTTACTGGTAAGGTAGACGTTAGATAGAGTTCCTGATATAGGTATTTCAAGCCATTTACGTACGTACTTGTTCACCACAGAATCCATATTTTCAGAGACCCAGGTTTTTGATAAGGTGGTTACAGTGAAATGCCAGGAAAGTTTGGATAGGAGGTAACGACTATAAAGCAAAAGTTTATTTTTGGGTGCAAAGGTTTGAGATCAATTTCAGACATAATGTCGTCCATGAGAGTGATTAGCTCTTGTTTGTGTTCTTTTTCGGACATACTGAAGTCAAAATATTTCCCCAAGTATCGAAACGACTCTCCAATTTTAGTGGCAGGTATCAATTCATTGTTAATCAGAAGTTTAGGTAAATATTGGATAGATTTTGTGAGACTTTTCCTGATCCCAAATGTTGAACACTTATCAACCCTGACAATCATGTTAGACCACTGGCACCAGATCGAGAATCGATTTAAAAGATGTTGATTTTCTGAATCTTGACCGCTTATTACCGCAGCATCATCAGCGAACTGGAACCAATGGACTGGGTTTAAAGATTTGTAATGAAACCAAATTGCCGGTATTTGTCAGTTTTTATATGTTGAATAAAGGTATTGATGCACATATTAAAAA